TACAACTGGAACTTACTTTCGGGACTTAGTTGTTTCCATGCTCCTTTTAATTTGCCCTAATTCAGCACTTTTCAAGTATGATGTAAAGCTCTATTGTAAATGTCACTGAGCAATTTAGCATTATATAATTTTGTTTTCCTTTTCACCTGAAAATATCACTGTTATACAACATGGAATATTCTTCACATTTTAGCTTTTAGAGCACATAGGAAGTAGACATGTCTTGGTAAACCATGTCTTTTTACCTTCATGGAGTGCTTTATCATTCCTGACCTGCTTTGACATGTTTTATCTGAGCCCATCCCCTCCATACCCCTGGGACACAGCAGGGCAGGGAATGTGTGTAGGAATTTGGAGACTTTAAATGACTGAGTGGCCACCTTGAGAACCCCTTTTGACTTAAGCTCAGCTCATGTACTTTGAGCCAATTCTAACTGATGACGGATGAGGAACTCAGTGTGTCCTACGATAACTCAGAACTAAGTGGCCAACACAAGGCTCAAATCTGTGACCTTGTCCTCATTGCCAGTGCCCCATCCAGTTGGGCTAACAGAGCATTTTATACATCAGGCTTAATTGCATTTCCACAATCATCTTGTCATTAGTTCCCCTTTTATTTTCCTCAGAACTCTCAAAAAAAAATTTTTTTTTTTTTGTATTTGTCTCACGTACACCATATTTCCCATCTTTCTTATTCAGGAAGATCAACCAACAGCTTTGCTGGCCTCCCAACAAAGTACTAAAGCTCAATTTGTGGATTGCAGTCAAAGAATCTCCAAAATGAATGCCACCATCAGAGAACACATGAAAACGGGGAGAAGAAAGACACCTTTGAAAGATCAACCAGGTGTGATAGATGCATATCTTGTTCTTGCCAATTCCAGAAGCTGTCATGGAACAACTTGCCCTGTTTTCAAGGGTTTGGTGGGAAATCTACATTAGTCAGGAACTCACTGGGACCAAGCCCTCAACTCCAGTGTCCTCATCTTGTAATCTTCCATCCACCTGCTGCAACACCTGGCTCCCCAAATTCGGGAGGGAGATATAACGTGTATCATAACAATCATATCGTGCAATGCCTTTCTGTTCTTTCAATTAAGCCATGCAACTGATTTATACCGGCATCTTTTTCAGAGGTAGAAATGAAGTGTTTTTGGATTTAAAGATTAACTCAGAATTTATTATTATTATTATTATTTTTTACAGTCTTGGTGAGTTATAGGGGTGGTGGGAGAAGGGAAGCAAAGTCATGTGAGGAAGTAAAAGATATTTAACTGCTTCGGAGGAAGAAATGTTAATGGACGTAGAAAGAATGGTTTGTAAGAAGTGCAGACATGCAAAATGGCACTATTAATAAGTAATGCCATGAAAGAGACCGTCCTTTCCAACCGCTCACACCTCTGACTGTGGGTTTCGGGGCTTCCTGATTTTTCTCTGCCCTCCGGCAGTGACGCCCCTTCTCCCCAACACCGTCAGGGGTTCGAGTGCCCCCGTCAGAGAGAAGCCTATTCTGTACCTGCTCCCCCAGCTTCTCTCTGAGTGACACGCCACCCACGCCTCCCCACACAGCTCTTCTTCCGCGGCTCCTGGAGGGGAGCAGAGGAGCTGCAGAGGGAGCCCGAGGCTACCCTCGCCCGCACCCCGAGACGAGGAGGCTTCCAGACACTTGTCCCCCGAGGAGCCTG